GCAATGCCCTGCATTTCCCCTCCTATCATGTTTCCTTTCAGATACGTGACTCAGCCTTATTCATCTAAACACAGGATGCTGAGACGCTGCACGATGAGGTTGCTAAAAGAAAAAGGGCTGAGTGTGCGGTAAGTTTCCTATGAGCAGTCAGAGTGTTTACACAGAGAAACTGCAGCTCTGACGTCAGATTGGCCGAAATAAACGTGTGTTTATAAGATGACTAATCATATGTGGTGCCCTAAGAAAAGCCTCTGCGATGGATTCTCACAGAGGCTTCAGTAATATTGTTTTTACTGAGCTGGAAGAGTCTCAGGATGTTACTACCGAAGCTAGAGCTCATTAAGCTGTTCAATTTTGGGTTGAGACAAAATAAACTTCCGCAGCTGACTTGGCTAAAGAGGAACTAACAAAAAAAAGAGACCCTGTCATTGTTAGTCAGCTGTTTATTATTTTATCAGCTAACTGACAAAGTCTCACCTCTGGCAGATAGCCTGCGCCTCCTTCATGGTGTTCCCTGCAACTAGGATGTGTTGAGGATCGAAGGTCATCATGGCCTGCATTTCTAGAATGGTGGCGTAGGTCAGAGCGTGGTACATGCTGTCTTTGTTTCTGCAAAACAAGCAAACAGAAAATTTCTGTTGTGATGCACAGGACGAAAAATATTAAATATTGCATTGTTTTACAATCTTTTACAGAACAACACATTAACATTTAGTTGCTTTAGATTTAGAATAATAAAACTCGACATCCTGGTTACATAAAGATTAAATCAAAAATATTTCTCATTCTGCAAAAACTTTTTTTAAATGCTTGAAGACATAAAATATTAATAAGCAGTCATCTGACAGAACAACAGTGTGGCCACTAGATGACGAATACCTGCTGACAAGAGACGGGAGATACTGAACAGTGTCTGTTGGCTTTCACGGTGACAAGGACACCGAAGTACTTGGAGCGTGTACCACGTGCACTTTCCCCACATAAATACCGAAATACTTGTTCAACTTGTTAATAAAGCTTCCTGGTCCTGATCTAAACAGTTAAACAGCTACTAATTAATCAAAACAAGTTAAAGATATACAACATATGTTTGTGCTATTAATAAGGAGTCCCACTGAAGTTATAGCGGACGGTTTAAACAGCCGTATGTATCCTGTGATTAACACATTTTCAAGCATGTCTGTTTGTTGGATCATATATTAAGTGACATGAAGTCAGAGGTGTGCAGGCAGGAATGCTGTCAGTCCGCATGGCCAACATTTCGCTGCTCTTCATCGCCAGATTAACTCATGTGACCAGCCTCTGGGATGTTACTCTGACCTCAGACCAGCTCACAATAAACAGATTTTTCACCCCATGAAAACTAGGCCAGCAAACATTAATCATGCTCTACTTCATGTTTCCTAATACAGCTATATCTATATATGTGCACACAAACTGGAAATAAAAGGCAAACGGAGATAAATGTGACATCATCCATGTGACTTTTTGTCTGTCATGAAAGAAAACTGCAGAATTAAGTAGAGACGTTTGTAAATTAACTAACTACAAACCTTCAACTGTTTGCTTAAATGAATTCAATCAGCTTTAACTCAGTAAACAAACACCAAACAAGCTCAGTAGCAACCTGGAAACAGAGAAGGCGCAGACTGAGAAGCAGGGAGATTTGCCTGGGTTACATTTCCATGGCGTCAGGCTCATTTATGTGAGACAGCAAGTGAAACTCAGGCTGGGAAACCTTTTAAGATGGAGTGTGATTTAAATTTAGTCACATGGCAGCAAAATATCTGTCAGATCTCAGTGATGAAAAGGTCGTAGCACCTCTGATAGCAGTAAAGCTGGGTCTCCAACATATTTTCACCACGTAGTTCCATAATGAAAGGGAGGAGCTGCTTTGAGATTCGCACAAACACGTGTGCACCGACACACACCTTGCATTCAGTTGAAGACGATGGAAGCAGCAATGGTAGTTCTGATGAAATCCAAACATTTTCAGTGATTTCTGCGCAGAAATTTGTGGACATTTGTCACAGAAACTTGTAGCTGATTCCTAAAATAACTCCTTGCCTGAATTAACCCTGATAATTTCACCCAAAGAAGACAACAGTACAGGCTACAGAGAAACAACAGCGCAGGTGTATCGAACACCATCCATGTAAACATCTGCCTCTCAAAATGAAAAAACACTTGACTGGTTACCGTGTGGAGCCATTACTCACGTTTCTATATTTTGCAAGGAAAATAGAAAAATATTTCTGTTCTTTGCAAGGACACACCACACCTGAGCTATTCATTTCCATATATGGAAATACAGTATACAGGACAAAAACAGAGCTTGAGCAATTCTAATGAGTTTGAAAGTCAATATTTGGTATAACCTACATCCTTCACCACATGCTGAACTCTCTTAGGTAGCTGTAATTTCTGAAAGTAATATTCGGGAATAGTTCTTCAGCTCTTCTTTGGATGTTGGCTGTTTTTGTGTTGTTCTCTGTCAAGATGATCCCAGACTGCTTCGGTGATGTTGAAGTCCGGGCTCTGAGGAGTGTGGTTGGGCGACCGGACGAATATATCGACGATAGGCTGAGCCCATTGTCGATGGTCAAGGGCGATTTATTTATTTATTTGCCCATGAGTACGTTTGCTAATAATGATGGAGCTAATAGAAGCAGCCAACATTAAAAAATAATAATAGCGCTGTTTTAGCAGCACCCTCTTTCATCTGCAAGCAAATGCCCCCTCCTCAGAGAGCACCCAAATGCTTGTTGATGCAGCTGCAGACGCTGGTGATAGCCTAGCATACTCAGCCGGATGGTGGACACGTGCATGCTCATGCAAGTTAGTCGTGTTTGAGTACTTTGCTCGCACTACACGTCTGCACAAGCGTTTACATCAGGTTTACCTGTTTCATCTGGTTTAAAGCCAAAGAAATCCAAAATTGGGGACTTTATATTTTTTTAGTGCTGTCAGCGTTAACGCGCCGTCATCACGACTAATGCGATTAACAATAAACCCATCTGGAGCGCAGACGGAGTCAAAATCCCTGAAATGTGTGTGTCAACGCATTTCGGGTAGTTTGTCCAAAGTTTGTTCATTCTGTGCTCCAGGTGGGCATCAAAAATCGCGTTAATCGTGACGACCGCGTTAACGCCGCGTTAACGCTGACAGCCCTAATTTTGGGGGAAATTAGTTCGTCCATGCTTGGACTTCTTTTTTTTTTTTGTCTGTCCCGTTTGGTTCTTTTTCATCAGAATTATTGTCTAAAGGTGAAGAAAGAGGCCCAACGGATTTACTTTACCAAATAGACCATCCCAGCCTTGCTGTAATGGTCTATTTGATTCACCTTTTAGTGTTTATTTTATTTTTTATTTTCACTTGCTAGATACGGGACAGACTTGAATGAGGAAAAGAAAAGGGAGACAGTGGCGCGGCTGCCCCTCTGTTGGTCTTCCTTGGTCTCTTGTGTTCTGGGGGCCTCCGGATGTCTGGAGTTTTGATCTCCTCCGTACCTGCTTCATACCCTGGAGGACGGGGCTGTGGCCCCCCCACACCCTCTAGCAGATCATTACTTGAAGAAACCTTTGGAATGCAAGCATGCTGATCCACACAGGTGTATACACAGACGCGGACTACAGCTTTCTTGGCTGCTGCCTCAAAGCACACTGTGCGCTGTCTATCTTGCGTGCTGCACAATATCGTTTATTATTTAGTATCTACTGATATCTACTGCTAGCTAGTTTATTGTGATGGTGCTGTTTTTTTATTATGTTGCTCTTTGTTGTTTGCTTTCTCTTCTGTTTTTTTTCTCCATACAGGTGACCCAGGTGTTTTGTTTTGTTTTTTTTGTTTTTTTCTTTCTTCCCCCCTTCTCACCGTCTCTTCTCCCCTTTGGTTTTCTTTCTCTCCCTCTCTTTCTTTCATTCTTTCTCCCTGTCCTATCCCCCAGTCATGTCTGTCCCGTTTGTAGCAACTGAAAATAAAATAAATACATAATTATAATAAAGGTCAATCAAATGGACCAATATGGCAAGGCCATGATGATCCACTTGGTAAAATAAATCTGCTTGGCATCTTTCTTGGCCTTAAGACAACAATTCTGATGCCAAAGATCCAAACGGGACACAAAAAAAAAAAAAAAAAAAAGAAAAGGGAGAAAGAAAGAGGGGAAAAAAACAAAAACCGACTAAATAAGCAGACAAAAAAATACAAATGTCAATCACCTGGATCACCTGTTGAGAAAGAAAAAAGAAAACAAGCATTTAACAAGGGATAAACTGAGTAAAGCGTAAGTAGTACACTATACACAACATCACGATGATATATGGGAATATAACTGTAAATACTAAATATTAAACATTATTGTGCAGCACGTAAGATCGACAGCGCACAGTGTGCTTTGAGGTAGGAGCCAAAAAGGGTGTAGTTTGTGTGTGTGAGCACCCGTGTGTACACCTGTGAGCATGACGCGCTTGTTTTAAAAGGTTCCTTCATGTAATGATCTGCTAGAGGGTGTGGGGGGGCCACAGCCCCGTCCTCCAGGGCATGAAGCAGGTATGGAGGAGATCAAACTCCAGACATCCAGAGGCCCCCAGAACACAAGAGACCAAGGAAGACCAACAGAGGGGCAGCCGCGCCACTGTCCCAGAAAGAGCTGAGGAGAGTCCCAGATGAGGGCTCACTCAGCAGCCTTTTGTTCCAAAAATATTATTTCCTGCCTGTCAAACTGTGTTATCTTTGGCATTTTTAATAGATTCAACTAAAGAAATGGGAATAAATGATGTATTTTTTATGACAAGCTTCTAGCAACAAAGTGCCTGAAGATATAATTCAAAGTTAGTTCTTTGCTAAGTTGTCTGACATGTGTAGACACAACACTGGTTCATCGGTTGACTTGAATGATTCATAGGTCTGAAACAAAAAAGAAAACATTTCTCTGAAGGTGCCCCGGTATAAGGATTGGACTGAAAAGGAGTGAAAACGCTGCCAAGTCCTTCGTAATACCCCGAGAACTATTGCTCAAGACCACAAGAAAGGCTGGTTCATTGGAAACGAATGCAAAGAAATGAGGCTTGACTCAAGGATTCTGACTTCTAATCATAAACAACTAAACATGAGGACCTGTGACCTGAATCCCAGCTAAACCATAACACAGCATCTAAAATTAAAGGAATAAACAAATCAGTGATCCAGTAAGATTTTCAGGACAATCGGACGCTTGAATATCTCCACAGACCTGTAATAAGTTAACCAGCTACAGGATGTACTTCCTGTGAGAACCTCTGTTCGGTTTCTGCTACTCCTCAGCTGCTATGGTTCGTTTGGCTTGGTGTCTAGCCTCTTCCTCTTCTGCTTCATCTCGCCCTCCAGCTGTCAGTCCACTTATGGTTTTATGTTTTTATCTGGATCCACTGCTTTTATACCAGTTTATTTATCGCTGCTTTCATTGACTGTTCCCCTGCCTCCTGATATGATGCACATTTTCAGTAATTTGACATGTAGTTTGGGGTTTTTCTATCACCTTTAATGGCCATTGTATTTCTCGTAAAGTAAATCAAGCTTCCAGTTTTACAACGGCTTTCAGTTAATGAGTGAAGCATAAATCTACTGTCTCCTGTGCTGAGCTGTCCACCTGCACAAACAGTGCTTAAACAGAGTCCATGCTTGCTAACAGCGCACTAATTCCATGTGTCCGTAATAACCGACCCCGTCATAAATAACTGCGGCGGAGGACTTTAACGCACGAGTCTCGCTCAAGACCAAAGTTATCCAAAAGATTCAGGGTGATTGCCGATATGGTGACCGTGACTGTAAGCCACTGACTAAAGTCTCTACAAACACAATATTGTTCCACAGTCAGATTTCCAATTAATATGCACTTTGTATAAACGAGGTCTTGCTCCCAATGCATCCTGGGACGACCTCCAACTACCTGTGACCATAAACATGGACGTAGGGGTAAATGTAGCAGACACAAGATTGACTAAATAGAAACTGTGTCCACATATGTGTGTGTCCTTGCCCCACATGGCTGCGTCAGACTACAGCTAACAGGTGGAGGAAAACAAAGCAAATCCTGCCTGCAAGCAAAGGTGTGAGATCTAAAAGTCTGAAACTAATGCTAACGTCAGACACAGAGCTGCTCTCTGAGGCCTCAAAGTTCAAGGCCGAGCAAGTGGAAGAACACAAAAGCTGCGGGATGCAAAGATTCCCAGGCTCTACAACACATGATAACTCCAGAAAACATCCCCGCTGATGTGTCCAGGTGCATTAAAATGATATACAGCATGCTGAAAGCCCAACAGCTGTCATTTCCTCTCATAAAAGCTTTTTCTGAGGAGAAAATGAGGTTGTGGGTGTCATTGGGTTGTGTACAAAGCAAACAAAATATTAAAAAATCAGTTTAATTGCAGTTCTGCATGTAAATGGAATAGAGCCGGCTGCACAGGGAGAAACCTGTGAGGCAGAAATCAGGACACCAACAGGAGTGTGAGGTTTTAGATTTATCCACATCGTCAGCACGGGTAGAAGATTTCCCAAATCCAAGTTTAAATAACAAACACCAGGAAAGACGGACCAAAAAATAATAATGTAAAAAACAAAGAGTGCGAGTTCATTCACTCTTAATGTCGTCACACACATGTCTCTCAGCAACAACACCACACACCGGTTTACTCAAAACTACAAACACAGTCAGGGCTAAAAGGAAGCTATTGTTTGATGCTGGGCAGCACTGGAAAGAAGAAACTGGGCTGAGGAGCGGCCCACAGTCCCAGAGGACGGATCAAAGCAGCGGCACGATAAAGGTGCTGATAACACGCAGTGGACACCGAGTAACACGATGACTCGGTGTTGGAGTACAAACCTGGAGGTGCCGTTTCTACGTGCTGTGTTATGTTAATGTAACTTAAAGCAGCACATGGTTCACATAACCTGTTCATGTAAACACAACAGAAACAGCAATTACAGTTTATTGGCTTTAATGTATCTTGTCTATTAAGACTTTGACACCTTATTTCTTATATCTATTGTACTTTTAATTCTCTATTTTATCTTTTTTAACTTTAGATTCAATTTACTTGTCCGCTGTGGGTCACTGCAATGCGGTGTTTGTCCTGCACTTAACAAAGAACCGACAAGAAGCTTGACTTTAACTGCACTGCAGTACGATGGTTCCAGCTGTCACTGATTCAGGACTCAAAAACATCATCTTACAGACTTTATTTTCCAAGCATGTTATGGCCCCGGCAGAGCCTGCTGTGATTTGTCCCAGTTGCTGTGTCATGTTGTCTCTCCAGCTTCAGGTGCCGCACTTTTGTGCAGCCAACTCTTCTCAGCAACTGGGTCAGAGCACAGAGGACAGCTCCAGACTCAGGAAGCATGTCTGGTTTTATATGTTGTGGCTGCCGAATGTGGGACCTCTGTGGTGCTTTGGCTGATTTAGCCTTTTTAACTTATTATTTTTACCTGATCAACTTCAGAGTTTTAATATGTTTCTCTTTTGATGGTGATCGTGGTCTGTCCATCTCTTTTAGTTAAACTGTTCGAAGAAACCTTCGCTTTATTTGCCTCCTTGTCTCCTTTTTCAAACCCGACACTTTTTGTTGTTTCCCCACATAATTGGACCTTCATGGAAACATCACAACACATTAAAAAGCTCCTTCTAATTGTGCAGCCATCTTCAAAGGCTGAATAGTGAATTTATCTTCAATATCGAAGTGTCCTCTTAATTAGAGAAACTGTACTGATCCTGCCACTGGGAAGAATTTAAAGCAGTGAGTGCTCTGAATGCTCAAAACAAATAAAGCACAGCTTCTTAATTCTTAAACTTTTATTGGACATTTAATTCAATCGAATTCATTTAGAGACGGCTTTAGATTTTATCGTGAAAAACCAAACAGCAATCATGGCAGCATGTAAAAAAAAGTGATCATCATCAGAACATTTTCAGAAAACTGGGTGACAAAGCTAAAAGCTCCAGGTCGTGACACGTCCACAGTGAGAGACACAAACTACTAACAGAGACCTGCAACATTAGGGGACGACTGTCTAAAAGTCCTCCAAGTCACCAAAGATCCAAGAAAAACATTCAAGGAACTGCAGCAGGGTTAAAATAGAAGAGCAGTGAGGTGAAATCACCGCAGATCTAAAGCTATTAGGAATCCTCTGAATGATCCCTTAACTCACATTTATGACCTTCATATCTTTTGATAAGAGTTCTCGGACGCTCATGAAAAAACATGGTCAAAGTTTCAAATAATGAGGCAAAAGCTCAGATTTTGGACTGCTGTCAGTCTGAACAGAAGCTCCGCCCACCTGCTGTTCAAACCCTCTGTTTGAGAGGGGGAGCCAATCAGCAGACAGTTGTCTTAAGGGAAGAGGAACTAAAACTAAACTTGTTTCAGACAGAGGCCCAATATCAGATAAATAAGAATTATTTTGAGCCGTGAAAGTTACTGAGAACACTCGAAAGGTCAAAGCCCGGCGAGAACAGCACCCGTAGCAGGTCGTTACGCAGGTGGTGCTCCTACCTGCATCTGAGCCGCGCCTGCGCCTCCTCAAAGTCGTTTCTGAGGAACAGATCCAGGGCGGCCATACAGTCCTCGAGAGCCAGCGTCAGGTCTGACCGCGAGCAGCTGCAGAAACAAAACAAACAGCAAATCTGGATGAAAACATGCTGAAAATACATCATCGTCCAAACACAAGGATGTAGCTGTGATCAAAGTGTACACAAAACAAGCCTGTGTCATATAAGGCAACCCTAAAAAGTGTTTGTGTCTTTGACTGGCCCCAAGAATAAAAACACAATCTAAAACACATTTTGTCCTGAATCGTAACATATTCATAAGTTATTAAATTCTCTGCACTCCTGCGAGACAGAAACCAGAAGATGAACACAGAGTGAGCCAGACGAGCAAACCGGCTGGAGGGAGTGCCTGTGGCGGGGCGGGGCCTGCGGTGCCGTGCAGAGGAGGCGGACGCACCTGCACGGCACCGCAGGCCACGCCCCGCCACAGTGCTCTTTGCTGTTACTGCTGCTGCTATTTGCATTACAGACATAATCATACATTTAGACAAGGACAAGCTCCGGGAGCAGTTTCTGAATCTTTTATTAAAGATAAAGAACAGATGCGCTTCGTGGCTTAAAGAAGATCACGTCACCTTGTATTCATCACGTGACGGGCGTGTGTACGACCTGGAGTCGTCCATCTTTGATTTGACCCGCTGTAGCCATGAAACTTTAAACGTATGTTTCACTTGTTAAACTCGGGGAGAAAACAGCAGCCAGAATGTGAAAAACTCGTTAATGACAGAGAGAAGCTAAGCTGATGGAAATTCTAAAAAACATTAAGCTCATTCATTAACTTTGCTTGGATTGTTGCTTGTTTGCTGTGTAATTACTTTTTATTACATTTACTGGATTTTGGACTAAATGACGTCAATCCCTGCCATGAAATATACACAACTGTTGATTTTTTTTACATTAAGTATTAGTTAATTAGCTTAATGTAATACTTTCGAAGGGTTTTCAGGAGAAAAGCATCTTCTGTCTAAAAAACAAATTATGACAGAACTTGTGGAACGATGCTCTCAGATTCGACCAAAATGCAGATGTTTCACCAAAACGCACAGCACCGCCTTTGGCAAAAAGCACCCACAGCACATGGGTGAAGGGGAGAGGATTGGGGCTTGTTTTGCAGCCACGGGACCCGGGCACCTTGAGTAAAATCTAAAAACGCTTGTAATACAAAATTATTCAAGAGTCAAATGTGAAGTCAACTGTCTGAGAGCTAAAGCTTGGTCAAAACAGAGTCATTCAACAGACAGAGATCCCAAGCAGAGCAGCAAATCTGCAACAGAATAACTGGGGGGAAAAATCAAGGTGCTGCACTGGGCCAAAGTCCAGACCTCACCCTCATTAAAATGCTGTGGTGGGAGTTTAGGAGAGCTGGGTAAAAATGAATGCATGAGAGAGGCTGATACATTTAGACAGGAAATGATGCTATAAGCATTTCTACAAGTTGGGGTGTTCTTAGATAAATGAATAAATCACAACCTGGTCTGAACAAGATTTTTTTTATTATATCCTGATACGTACAAACTTCTAATTGAAAGAGGGTGTACTCCATTTTTACGAAGCTAGGAGCCACTATTGCGTGAAATGACCTCGCTGTCTACTCTCTCCAGTATTTTGTGCTTTGTCTTGATTGTGGTTTCTTGTGTCTTTCTGTGGTCTCGATTTCCCCCCTCGGCCCCATCCAGTCTGGACAGATGGCTGCCCTCCCAGAAGGTTTTTTATGTAGAAAAAGGCGAGTTTCTTTCTTGGATCACTGGCTTTTTCTCTATAACACCGTTAGCTCTTTACCTTACAACATAACGTCTCTGAGGGCAACTATCATTCCCATTTAAGTGCAGGAACACACTCTGTCAGTATTACCCGCTCAGCCCATGTCAGCATTAGACAGCTGCAGAGGAATAAAAGAGGAAACGCAGCTACAGCTAACGTGTCTGGCACATTCCTGCCCATTAGAAACACAAAGAAGCCATAAACTCACTTCATACATACACATACCACCAGCAGCATGATAGAAAGAAGCACACATACTGGTGCAGCTCTGCTAATGACATGCGGGTGACTGCTGTGTTCACCATATGACCGGCAGCCAGCAGTTTCCTGCTAACAGAAACCTCCTCTCACTGGTGCACATACTGGTCCGTCTCTGTGCAAAACTCAGGTGACTTTAAGAAATGCTCTTTGTTGTCAGCAACAATACACACACACACACACACAGAAAGACCCACACTACACACACACACACACACACACACACACACACACACACACACACACACACAAAACACACACACACACACACAGACAAAATAATGCAACCGAAGCTATAAACAGCATTATATAAACATTAGCAATTAGCATACAATGATTAACTTATTTTACCATTGGCTATTTTCTAATTGAGTGTCCACAGATGATACTTTAATATGAAGACCAATAATAAAATCCAAGAGAAAATAATGCAGCACATTGTGCGCACATTTATGTTGTTAATCCTGCAGAGTCACATGTCTTCCACCAGTGGCCACTGAGTGAATCCAACCAGTCCAACCAGAGCTGTTGGTACAGTCCATACCGGTTTTCTGTACGAGTAAAGGTGCAGCGACGACAGAGTATTCAACCCCGTAAGCCACAGAGTCAATATTCTCACCTGCAAAAATCCCCAGATGTAGGCAGGAACAGATGAAAACACTGAAATACAATAAACCTGCAGCTCACTAATCCAGAGTGAAATCTGGAAACTCAAATACTGACAGAGTACTTCTGCATTAAAGAGAGAATAACACACATATTACACTGACACAGTGACGCTGACTGTACTTAACCTGATCTAAGAGTTATGAACCTGTAAGAAGTGCAACATTAATTTTAGTCACAGTAATACCCTGTGACCTCTCGGTCAAAGTCCCACCTTTAAAATATAACTGGGGCCCAGTTCAGAGTTTAAATGACAGGCCTACAGAAGAATTAAGAAATGCTAATACTTACACCAAATGTATAGCTTTGCCAAACATTTATTGTAACCTTACCCTAAATCTTTACTCGAGGCATGTTTAGTTATTATTTTAGATTTTAGAAAGTTGCTTTATATTGTAAGGTAAAGACACTACAATACAAGACAGAAAACCCAACAATTAGACAGTATCCTATGAGCAAGCACTTGGTGACAGCAGGATGGAAAAACTCCTTTATGACAGGACGTTGTAGTACCATATCACCCTATTAGAGCACTTCGCTCTCGCTCTGCAGGCCTACTTGTTGTTCCTAGAGTATTTAAAAGTAGAATGGGAGGCAGAGCCTTCAGTTTTCAGGCCCCTCTTCTGTGGAACCAGCTTCCAGTTTGGATTCAGGAGACAGACACTATCTCTACTTTCAAGATTAGGCTTAAAACTTTCCTTTTTGCTAAAGCATATAGTTAGGGCTGGACCAGGTGACCCTGAATCCTCCCTTAGTTATGCTGCAATAGACTAGGCTGCCGGGGGATTCCCATGATGCATTGAGTTTTTCCTTTCCAGTCACCTTTCTCCTCACTATGTTTAACAGACCTCTCTGCATTGAATCATATCTGTTATTAACCTCTGTCTCTCTTCCACAGCATGTCTTTATCCTGTCTTCCTTCTCTCACCCCAACCGGTCGCAGCAGATGGCCCCGCCCCTCCCTGAGCCTGGTTCTGCTGGAGGTTTCTTCCTGTTAAAAGGGAGTTTTTCCTTCCCACTGTCGCCAAAGTGCTTGCTCATAGGGGGTCATATGATTGTTGGGTTTTTCTCTGTATCTATGAAGCGCCTTGAGGCGACTTTTGTTGTGATTTGGCGCTATATAAATAAAATTGAATTGAATTGAATTGAAAAACTCCAGCACTTCCAGGTTGAGGAGGGGGGGGGCCATCTGCTGCGACCGGTCAGGAGGGTGAGGGGAAAGAGAGGAGAAAAGGGAGAGCATAGGGAGACGGGACAAAACACTGACTATAGAAAATTTAATAGCATCCAGAAATGGAAAGATACAAGCATCACGGGATGCAGCCTGAGCCGACTGCAGCATAACTACAGGGATGGTTCAGAGTCACCTGATCCAGCCCCAACTATAAGCCTTAGTAACAAAGAAAGTTTTAAACTTAAACTTAAATTAGTGGAGTCAAATTACCTGTTAGACTCAGGCTACAATGATACTGAGGTAGATAAGGAATCGTTAAAAACTGCAGTGTGTCAGCAGTATTAAACAGACGCCTTACGCAGCAGGTTTGTGTGCATGTTACATAAAAGAGGGCTGATTTTAATAATAAACCACATTTTTTGTGTTACTGGATTCCTGCTATTCAGATTTTTTAGATAAAGGCTGAAACCTGTGTCTGCAAAGCTGAGGACAGCAAAGCATCAGTGGATATATCATTTCCTTATAGGTGGAAACCGACTTAACTGGTACCGGCTGACTGGAAAACAAGATTTTGGCACCTTGAACGCAATCTGAGAAGAACAAAAATAAAGGAAATGGACTGTGTGAAGGAAAGAAAAGGCAGAAAGAGGAGAGTGTGCGAGGTTCAGGCTGTGCATACCACGCATCGTCCAAATAATTTAATTAGGTTCAAGTCAGCAAGTCTCAAATTCTGCGTTGATTTCTCCAGAGAGCAAATTACACAATGATGATCATTATCAGGCAAAGGCACACACACACACACAGCCACTATTCATACACACTCACACACCACTGCATGTGCTGATGCAAACCAATAAGTGCACACATGCACCCACACAACCACGCACACACCCTTTCCTGGAGTGACAAAGCATTAGTTTTATCAACTGTGTGTGACAGAGCTTTCAGCACATCAGACAGGCTGGTATAACATGTTCAAAGGCCTTGTTACGGGAAACAAAAGAAGCGAGCAGCTCCGACAATAAATCGAGCGAGTTTGTCCACATGCCTGAGAGACAGGAGTGGAAAACAAACGTCACATGAGAATGGAAACACGGCAGGAAAAGTCACATTCGCAGAGCATCTCACACTCTCACGACTGCATGAGAAACACACGTCATCCCAACATGAGCGCATCTTACCCGTTCGACAGAGTCTCTTCCTCCCCTGACATTTTCATCTGGCAAAGTGTGTGTGTGTGTGTGTCCGGAAGAGACGCAGAGAAAGCGACTAAAGTAAGAGAGAGAAAATAGCAGAAGTGGCTGTGAGCCCGGGGCCTTTCCAGCAGTGCAGTGCGATGCTGTGTGTCTCTTTCTGTAGCAGCAGAAACAGCAGAAGGTTAGGCAGAGAGAGAGCGTGAGAGAGAGAGGTAGGGATGAATGAAGGAGAGAGAAAACGAGGGAGGAACGAGAGGTAGGACGCAACAGCAGCCCTTAATAAGACTGGGATGACTATCACACATGGAGAGAAAGCCTGGCCCACCTCGTCCGATCATCACCCTCATGCTCCACACTGCAGTCTCCGCTCTGATTGGTTAATGCAAAATCAGGAGCGTGGCTGAAATGCCCACTTTCACAGTCAGGGGATTTTTCTGTGTAGTGAGGATACTTCCAAAAACTAAACCCTGGAGGAGCAATGTGCTAAAAGCAGAAGTGTTCATAGTCATGAAGCCATTTTTCGTCATAAAAAGACACAAACGCTACTGTAGGTGGGAAAGAAATGTAGCTTTCTGAGGCGCAGCTGGTCAGGGCTGCTGCAGAGGCTGCTCACCGCAGCGGGCAGGCGGTCCAGGAATAGACGTCGATGCAGCGCAGCGGCTCCAAAATGTAGACGCACGAGAAATAATGTGAAATCGTGAATGGAGAACGGGGGCAGTGCCAGGACTTGAGCTGTATATCACTGCGAACAGCCCATTGCCAGTCATCCATTAGATGTGAGTGAGTGTGAATGGGTGAGAGAGCGACATAAACACATGTCGGCTGTAGTGTCTCGACCCGCATCTTTAATAAGCAGTTAAAACGACTAAACAAGCAGCAGTAATCAGAGCTGTCAGGCTTTTTGTTTTACATTAAAGTCGAGGAGTTTAAGCCCAGTTAGCTGTGCGGATTTACTTTTTTGTCTTAAATACTGAAACTACAAACAAGTCTGTGTCATAACATGATACCTCAGCACTGCATACTCTCTTTGGACCACTTTTGTTAAGCACCGCCTCCTTTTTCTTTCATCCCACTGGCTGTGAAGCCGTGCCCAGATAATGCATTCACCAGTCAGCCACCGTGACCTTTGTGTAGTGTTTCCTGCATAATCGTGGGTGTTGTTCGCAGAGGAATCATGGGTAAACGGTGGGTTCGCCGTGACCACGCTTGAGCAAATATACTTGATGAGTTTCCACCTGTGGCGCTGCACGCGAAGGCTGACAGTCTTTGTTTCATGCATGACCCCAGTGTGTGCTCGGGTGTGTGGCATGCCAGATACTGTCAGTTTTTAATCTGCAACAGTGTGTTTGCTCTGAAACACCAAGATGCTAAATACATCATGTTTACTGTCACATTAGAAATGATGCAAAAGCAGCAAAATCTCACATCTGACCAGCTAAACCAAGGAGCAGCACTTCTACACTCAAGCTTTATTAAAGTAAATGTATTTTTAGTGAAACAGTTTTATTAGACAGCTAAGCGTTCATGCCACACGATCATATAACATATGCTAATTTGCTGTTTTTGCTTCCCTTCAAAGGTCTTACGGCGCAATCACAGCATGTTTATGAAGCCACGTCTTTGCCCATTAATAAACCTTTAGAAGTTAAACCACCACTCAGCCTGCATTGTTATATAGGAATTGCTTCCTTCCCAGAGGTGGAATGTAAAATACCCATAGCACCTATGTTTGCATACGTGATTATATTTTTATATTTAAATACTTTTTTTCCTGGTGCCAGGTTTTTAATGAGATTACTATGAGATGTAATAGAAACAGTCCTGATTCCTGGTTATTACTACAAACACATCTCTACTACTAACTGGTTTTGCCTCAAAGGCGTAACTGTTCCCACATATTTAGCCCAGTTTCTGGCCCGTTATTATCCAGTTACATACACTTCAGTGTGTTTAGTCATGCATAACCACTGGTAGCAGATAATGTATTAATTAGTTCAGTAATTAAGTGGTACTAACTTGCTATTGCCATGCTCATGTTTCCACTATTACCATGTTATTACCGAGTTTAATAGAAAGGGCCACCAGGTTAATTAAAGCATTCTTTATTCTCACTGATGATTTACTGAATTATTGCCATCAAATTACTGACAAAACAAATCTGATATAAAAAATTCATCTGCATCAGTTTGTTCCTCAACGCTGGAGGAAAATACTGACCGTCAATGAGTCAGAATTACCTGTTTTCAGATACTATAACAGCCACACATATTATTCCTCTCTCCAAAGTTTAACTGTGAACTTTAAAGCAACCGAGCTCCACAGAGATCAAGAGACAGCATAAAGCTTACAGTCATGTGACCGCGCTAAGGGCTTCGTACATATTACTGGTTTTGCTCCCATGAAAGCACAATCGCGAGAACAAAGCTCTCTCAGTGTCCGGCGCAGAAACAAGAGGGGAAAAAAACATCTATCTTTATAGAGAGTAGTAAAAAGAAAAGCCTAATTGTTGCTTTCATCTCTCGTGTTTGCTGTGAGGACATCAGAGGGTCATGGGTTTAAATTGAAGATAATTAGATTCTCATTGCCCTCCTCATGGTGCAAAAACACTCCTGCTCACTGCCCAACTTGCAAAAACACATTCGTTTGCAAAGTTTTGGTTTTTCACTTTGATCAGCCAAACAGGTCATGACATATTTAGCAGGTAGTGGGTTCCTATTGGACACATCTATGCGCCTGTCACATGACTGAGGAGTCCAGGCTGTCGCACACGGATGTGATTTTCAGTTCACATCGATGTGCGATGTCTCCGGGGGTTTTTGAGGACCCGGTTTGCCAAAATCGAAGATTTCAGAGCTCACAGACATGTGATATTAGAAGCAAATCAAATGTTTAAAGCTTTTACATACAAACAAATGTTGATTTATCAGCACAACTTAGCACGTCTTCAATTAAAAACAGCAGATGTTCACTGAAATAAAACCTTTTAAAAATATTTATAAAACTCAAACTAGCTGCCAGTATTGTATAAATATCTAAAAGCGTCCTTTCACTTTATTACGTGCTTCTGTTCTTATCAGACAGACACACATTTCTTCTCCAGGCTCTGAACGCTCATCATAGTTTGAATAAGCGATGCTTTCACGGTCACACTCAGGCATAACTAAAGTGCTGAGAGATGATGTTATTCTCAGGTTCCCTCTGTCTGAATTATTGATATCACAAGCAGGAGAAGCTGCCCGTGAACTCCTGACGACTTTGTTACCTCAACATGTGCATCTTTGTGTCTCGATGAAACCAAACATTTCTGTAATCTAAGCCTCGGTTTTCGTGTATGATCTGAGAGAGCTCACAGGCCAGTCTTACCCATTCGATGGATCTGTTGACTCCAGACCATCTTTGTCGTCCGGTATCTGTAACCTGAAACACGGGAACAGAATCGGGCTGTTTTAGAGAAAGGAGAGCAATCTCGAGGGATGAAAACCAGCTGAAAGACAAGCTGTTGTTTGAGGAACACGATCGTGAGAGAGAGAAATATGGACACCGATACATGAGGACACTCCCAGGCCACAATGACTCGCTGATTTCTACAGATATGAACTTGATGACTTTCAGGGAAACCTGTGTGAGACTGGGCTGATGTGGGAGCAAATATTTAAATTTGTTAAATTACATTTGTGAACTTAAAGAAACTTACTTGAAGTCTGTGATGATGGAGTCCAGCTCTGGACTGTTTACATCTGACAACCTGAGATGAGAAATGCAGATGAGTCTGAGCGTAACCGCCTGCCAGAGTTAAACTTATTGTTATGCTGTAATCAGAGCCACGATTAGCAGCGGCTTTATGTTTTCTTTGTTCCTCACAGTACGAAAACATGACGTGCGCAGTGTCACCGTACCGGCTCGGGGAGTCCGGGCTGTCAGGTACGTCTTGTGGATTCATTGCATCCCTGTGAACAGGTCAAAGGTCAGCTTGGGAAAAAAAACCCACAAGACTGAATCTCATTAAGGTAAGAGGAGGATGTCAGCTGGGAAAGTCTGAGGAAAGAAGGGCTGTAGCGAGAACGTGAAGTCTAACTTTTGAAATACTCGATACTATTCCAGCATATGACCGAGTATTTTCTTCTCGTCAGCGTCCCAGCACGTTTTTAAATATGCTGCTGGCATCAAATTCATAATGAGAATTGTTAAATAAAACTGACACCATCGATATTCAAACATATATAAAATATATGTAAATAATGTGGAACGCATTCTGATTTACCTACACTTTACATACAGCCTGAAGTAGGCTGCTAATCAATATAAACATCATACAATCAACAGATGTCCTGTAAAAACTAAAGTTGTTTGTTTTGGAGTGAAATCGCTAAAATCGTCTGTTCTAGTTAGAACTTTATTTACACATGAATGTGTAACAAAACACAAGAGAGACCCAGCTAAGTGTTGGGCCCCTTCAGAACATCACAAACTACATGGATCATGATGATGGATCATATCAGTGGCTAAACGCACGTAAGTGTTACATTATTAGACTTTTCTCCCTTTTTGAAACAAAACAAAGTATCAGATCCACTTCCCTCTTTGAGCCTCAAACAGCTGCAAAGTACCTGAAATGACCAGGTCAAAGGGAAAGGCAGCTTGAAACCTTGCAAGTATTATAACGGGACACTGGATAATAAACATTCAGTGCGAGTTAAAATAAGCCAAACATGGGGCAGTAACATAAAACTGAACGGTTTACATCAGCCTGTTAAATCTGACTTTCACTAACAGTAAAAAGCTCGCGTGGTCCTGACTGACACATCGTGAGCGTCAGGTTGACTAACAGGATGCAGAACACAGACTGACACACTTATAATAATAAGAGAGAAGGAACAGACACCAAACATCTCAGGAGGTTTCTTCCGCCTCTTCCTTTATTAACTACAGAGACTCAAACACACACCGGTGGTTTGCGTGGTTTATTAAAGGGTCCTGGAAATCTCGTGTTCACAGGCTCCAGTGTGCGCTAAACAACAATCTCAGCGCGATGACACGATAACCTCAGGCCAGCGCAGTCACATGACGCCTTAGGTTTAAAAAAAAGTGCGATTAAATCCCAGCAGCCGGCCTGACTTTGGAGACAGACAAGCACGGACACGGCCAACCAAGACGCGCCGATCTCCGGGAGCTTTTTCCTTCCACTCACCTTTTGCTGTCATGTTTCTTCACGCTTCGCTTCCAGCTGTTCATGAAACTCATCCCACAGCGCGGGAGGACCAGCGGCGACCGGAGAGGTTTACACAGCGGCTCACACTCACGTCACACGGGAGCGAGTGGAAGGGAAAGCGGCTGCTGCGGCTGCTGCTGCGCGTCTTCCTCCTTCCTGACGTGGAAAGGTGCGCTGCTCATCAACGCAATAATGACTTTTATTTGAATGCACAGCAATGCAGCCGCTCGCCCCGCGGTCCTAAAGCCGTCCGTGTTAGGACGACGCTACAAACAAGGAAGTAAACACAGGCGATAATAATATTCATAAATATGATCTTAAATGCCCAAAATACTAAAAGATATATATTTTTACAAAAAAATATTTAAGCAAATAATGTTTATTTTTTATTATTAAAATAATTTTGCATAAAATAGATAAATGTTACATAGATTTTCTATAAAATGACAGAATTGCTTTGTATAATTTGTTTTAATTACCTAATTAATTTATTTTTATTTATTTGCCCAGCGTGTTTACAGAAATACTTGAAAGGTGACAAAAACGTAAACACGGGTTGTTTATGAGTACTAAAGGTGCTTATGATACTATAATTGTCTTTATAATATATTTACATCTAAATAAAAAAAGAAATATCGTGACACTATAGTTAAATACTAGAAACGAAATATATGCCCTTGTATTCAGAAATGAGGACATCAGAGGGACATCAGGTTGGGCAGTCTGGAGACTAAATCAATGAGGCTGAGATTATTTTTGGATGAGTAGAGGATGAATCGTGGATATATTGGAAAAGGAAGGTGATTATCGAACTGGCAAGTAGGAGGGAAAGAGGGAGATCCCAGAGAAGATTCGTGGATGTAGAAGGATGGCATGCAGAGGTGACAGAGGATGCTAGGGATAGGATGAGATGGAGACTGATGATCTGCTGTGGTCATCTCGAAAAGTAGCAGCCAAAAGCATGAGGCACTGAATCCATGTCACCTCCTTTGTTGTAAATCAAAGTGACAACAGGTGCACAGGAGGCAACAACAAGGCAACTTCCAAAAAGGGAATGGTGTTGCAGGTGGAGACCACAGACAATTACGCTCTCGTTATTCCTCCTGACTGACTTCTCTCCAGTTTTGAAGCTCCTCCCGGAGGTTTGCTGTGTCTCCTGGGATCTGGTGCATCGTACGAGGAGAAACAGGAGGGGCACTATCACGTGTGGATGACAATATATTAAGAAGATGCTCTGGGAAAAAAAAAATGCACCAACTGCAAAACTACACATTTTTAATATTTATTCTGTTTCAATTAAATGCATTACATGGCCAAAGCCTTCCAATAATGATTTTTCTTACAAGTTAGGAAGTACAAAATAAAATACAATTAGCCTGAAGCTTAAAAAGCTTTATGGATAAGCCTAGAAACGTACAGTAAGTGGTTCTGGTTTTGAGAAATGTGCAGAATTGTTAAAAATGACAGTAACCTGTTTGAATACATGACAATGAAGCAATGAAACTAGTACAACAAGAGACCTGGAGAGCAGACATGCAGCTGTGCTCTCCCGTATTCACAATAAACTTCATTGTAAGAGAGCGAGAGCTCTCAGTAGGAAGTACTGCACGAGCCACAGACAGTACACTGGTTAGACATGAGAAGAGGAAACTATCTTCTTGCTAAACATTAAAGAAGTAAGAACAGGAAGAGCTGTCCAAAACATTGTGCATTATTTGATAAGAAATGAGCTAAGGTAATGAGAGAGCAGAGGCCTCTCGCACTTCATCGTAGCCTTTCCTCAGCAGAAAACCTTCTGTCACGTTTAGTAAAGCTTTCCTGTGCCGCCGTGTGGCTGTCAACAGGCCCGATAACACAGTGCAATGTGAGCGTGCATCCTCAGCACATCTGAGGTCTTTTGCAAGTTAAATCCCTGCAGATGTCGAGGTGCACGGCCAGAAAATACACCGCTCTAACGAAAAAGTAGAAACACTTAACAAATTTCACCGTGTTTGTGTAAGACTCTGAAATCCAGGCAGTCTCTCAGAGCGCAAAAGACTCCTGGATTTAAAAAAAAGAAAAATCGTACAAATGGTAACAAGTGAAGCACCGACTCTGGCACACGTTGAAATGGGACCAAATGTTCACGTGGTAACATGACAACCGCACAGTTGTAGTTTTCCACTCAGCATTCAAGCTGCTGAGGAGCCCTTGAGAGTTTCCCTAAAGGAGATCAATCAGGATTAATGATACAGCTAATGATCAGTTAAGGTAGGATCCACGCTTACATTCATCTATGACAACCTTGCGTTTTGTTACATTCTTTCATGTCGGGCCACAATGAATTTAAATTTTTAGACCGATTTAAAGATCCTAAAGTACTTGAGAGAAACTTAGTTTGTATGTTAGAAAAACAGATCGTGTGCTTTCTGTTCTGCATCCTACTGTAGTGTGGCCTAGTTTTTAATGCAAAACAAGCTGTAGTCATAAAATGTGATGGCTGTAGTTTCATTCATTATTACCTCCCCCGACACACACAAATCAGTGCTTTAATGCTCACGACACAGGTGCTACGGTGAGCAAGGTAGGACTGACATTTCAAAGGAAAAGGTAGCTGTGGCAGATTTGTTCCATTTTAGTATAAATCTACACATTTCACATCTTACAGGAGCCGCAACTTCCAGTTAAACACGAAGAAATGTTGAAATATCCTGACCTACTCTAAATGAAGACAAAAAAAATCATCTTCCCTGCACGCGAGTGGGACACGGTCACTCTGTTAGAAAGGGCCTACAGAGTTACAGAACAGAACAAACTGGGAAACAGAATCTCCCCAGTTCACTGTGGTTGCTTCAGAAGTTTAATCGAGAGCCAAAAAAGAAAATTTGGGGAATTCTTGAGTTCTAGAAAATTAGCACGTCTATTAAAATCTCATCACAAAGAGAGCTGAGATTTAATGAAATGTAGTTTGTTTAGTGGTTTCGAGCGCGCGCTACAATAAATTACATTCTGGGGACTTAACGCAGCGCTTGCTGCCTAGATTTTAAATGAAGGCAAAACGCCGTTAACACTAGAACAAGTTTTCTCTTGCACCTTCGTTCTAAAAAGGGGGAAAGAAAAAGAAAAAACGTTACGCTCCTCTATCAAAACCACGGAGACCAACAGAGGATGGACAGTCGGGGGGTTGAACGAGTTAGAGATGAGTTTTGAGTCTCTTCATGGGGTCAGCAGGTGATGCTGAATCAGTCCTGTACAATCCCCACTTTGCTTTGGTGCTTTCTGGGCTGGGCCGGGCCAAGCTGTGCCGTGCCGTGCCGAGCCAGACCAGTAGAGGGGAACGGGGCCTCCTCAGGAGAGTTCAGACTTGCTGAGAGCGATGGCCAGCTCCAGGTCTTCTTGCTCCTGCTGGGTGAGCCTGGCGAGTCGCTCCTTTTCCTCTCGCTCGCTCTCGCGCTTTGCCCACTCTATCATGTCTTCCTCGGTTGGATACTGCTCCATGAAAACAGAGGAAACAAAGAAACATACGCACACAATGGATGCAGTTTTGAAACTTTGAAAACCCACCAGCAGCAGACCTTTTTCCTTCAAAGTGGACACTTTGACTGATTTGTAATCACCATTTATGTGCCAGAAACCAAAGACAGTGAGTCAGGACGCACAATTGTAGGGTGCTAAAAAAAAAAAGTCATGTATTGGAGTCTAAATTTGTAGTTCTGTGCCCATTCTGAGAAAGGTGCATCGCAATGAGGTCTAAAAGAAATCCAGACTTTTGCAGACCTCCCAAACAAATTAGAAAAAAAGAACAGGAAAGGCGATTGAAATTGATTTCCCTTTATCCAAATGAAAACAGTCCTCCCAACATATATACCCTTGCAAAGTTCCTGCAGCCACATGATCAGGGCAAAAGCAGGGACTGCGATGCTAGAAAAGCCTGAAGACAAACAGGCACAGCTGTAGGACCACAATCACATGCACTGAAAGCTCCACGGTCACAAAAAGAGTAGGAAGGAAACACAGTCCACTGGTTAAATTGGTTAATCATTGCAGACTGTGTAAATATGTTCATTATTCTTAACGAATGACAGACAGAAGCGACAGAGGTCATCCCACGTGCATCCAGCCATGCAAAGGAGAGTCTCCTAGCAACTGTTTTAGAGCCGATAACAACAGGTCACGGTATGAAGAACATGCACGAGAAGACGTGTACAGAATGTGATGATCTGACAGAGAACATGCACTTATCAGTTTGCAGACAACATCCCGCCAATTCTCTTAAATATGAATGAAATCAAACATAAATAAGATACATGGAAAGAGAAATGGTGCTTTTTATTCCACAGCTTTAGGAAAAAAACTTCAGTCTTCTTATTTGTTTTTCATGTTAAGATACTTTAAAGGATCATTACAGAGTTTTACATGTTTTAGTTCATTTACTTGACACTGCAGCTTCTCAGAAATGTGATTTCCTGGTTTCTTTGTATCCGTTTGTCTCGCCGGGTAACAAATATACACACAGGGCAACCTGTGGCCAAATGAACCTTCCTTGATATGAATCTATAATGATTAATAATGCACCTAACTTTATTACTGTTGTGCCCATGTGGTAATTTATGTAATTCGCTGAATTACAGTCTCTGTTTGCAGTGGCACTTTAATGCAGAAGTTACAGAGCTGACAAGCAGCAGAGAGGTTTTTATGGGCTGGGAAATCATCCTAAATGCAACACATGGTGTGGGAAGTTATCAACAGTAAGCTGAAGCATAGTCCAAACCTCTGATAAATGAACTGAACGTGTAAAACACTTGATCCTTTAAACTCAGGGGTTTACAGGTGGTGATGTCATGGATGCACATAGAAGCCGGAGATGGTGGCCTTGATTCAACACTTTATTAAACAGAGGTGTAAAGAAACACAGAGAGAATACAGTCAATCTGCTTCTCCACAACACACTGCTGACCACACGAGGGCTCGGACACAAACTGATGAATGAATGAATGGATGGATGAACAGAGGAAAGCCTGTGTAAATAAACAGCAGCAGAGTAAAGGGGAAAGGAAACTTTGATGATTCGAGAAACGGTGGAGGCACTGGTGTAAGTCAACGAGAGTCAAAGACACAGTTAGTGCATGCAGGTCGGCGACTGACAGGTACATGCGAGGGTGCTCACGTGACAGGAGAGGATCAACAGTGTTCTGAT